GGAAATTTCGCCATAACTTGGCCAAAAAAGGAGACACAGTTAAAATGAAGACTGTTTTGTGTTGCTAATAAACAATGCTAACTATGCTCATCCCTACTTTTATGATTTTCGAAAAAATAAATTTTAACAAATTTTCACATTTTCGATAAGGGGTACCCCCATCAAAATTTGTGAAAAATTGAAACCTCCTAAAACATCCGGCTTTGAACACATGTGGATAGGGAATTTTGTTACAAATTCAACGAGGTATGGCATTTTACTCTTGGACAACTATTTTTATTGCTATCGAAAAAAAACTGATTATTTTTATTCAAAAAAAATATACAATTTTTTTTTTTTCAAAAATGTGATATTTTCAAACGGAAATTTCGCCATAACTTGGCCAAAAAAGGAGACACAGTTAAAATGAAGACTGTTTTGTGTTGCTAATAAACAATGCTAACTATGCTCATCCCTACTTTTATGATTTTCGAAAAAATAAATTTTAACAAATTTTCACATTTTCGATAAGGGGTACCCCCATCAAAATTTGTGAAAAATTGAAACCTCCTAAAACATCCGGCTTTGAACACATGTGGATAGGGAATTTTGTTACAAATTCAACGAGGTATGGCATTTTACTCTTGGACAACTATTTTTATTGCTATCGAAAAAAAACTGATTATTTTTATTCAAAAAAAATATACAATTTTTTTTTTTTCAAAAATGTGATATTTTCAAACGGAAATTTCGCCATAACTTGGTCAAAAAAGGAGACACAGTTAAAATGAAGACTGTTTTGTGTTGCTAATAAACAATGCTAACTATGCTCATCCCTACTTTTATGATTTTCGAAAAAATAAATTTTAACAAATTTTCACATTTTCGATAAGGGGTACCCCCATCAAAATTTGTGAAAAATTGAAACCTCCTAAAACATCCGGCTTTGAACACATGTGGATAGGGAATTTTGTTACAAATTCAACGAGGTATGGCATTTTACTCTTGGACAACTATTTTTATTGCTATCGAAAAAAAACTGATTATTTTTATTCAAAAAAAAATATACAATTTTTTTTTTTTCAAAAATGTGATATTTTCAAACGGAAATTTCGCCATAACTTGGTCAAAAAATGAGACACGGTTAAAATGAAGACTGTTTTGTGTTGCTAATAAACAATGCTAACTATGCTCATCCCTACTTTTATGATTTTCGAAAAAATAAATTTTAACAAATTTTCACATTTTCGATAAGGGGTACCCCCATCAAAATTTGTGAAAAATTGAAACCTCCTAAAACATCCGGCTTTGAACACATGTGGATAGGGAATTTTGTTACAAATTCAACGAGGTATGGCATTTTACTCTTGGACAACTATTTTTATTGCTATCGAAAAAAAACTGATTATTTTTATTCAAAAAAAATATACAATTTTTTTTTTTTCAAAAATGTGATATTTTCAAACGGAAATTTCGCCATAACTTGGCCAAAAAAGGAGACACAGTTAAAATGAAGACTGTTTTGTGTTGCTAATAAACAATGCTAACTATGCTCATCCCTACTTTTATGATTTTCGAAAAAATAAATTTTAACAAATTTTCACATTTTCGATAAGGGGTACCCCCATCAAAATTTGTGAAAAATTGAAACCTCCTAAAACATCCGGCTTTGAACACATGTGGATAGGGAATTTTGTTACAAATTCAACGAGGTATGGCATTTTACTCTTGGACAACTATTTTTATTGCTATCGAAAAAAAACTGATTATTTTTATTCAAAAAAAATATACAATTTTTTTTTTTTCAAAAATGTGATATTTTCAAACGGAAATTTCGCCATAACTTGGCCAAAAAAGGAGACACAGTTAAAATGAAGACTGTTTTGTGTTGCTAATAAACAATGCTAACTATGCTCATCCCTACTTTTATGATTTTCGAAAAAATAAATTTTAACAAATTTTCACATTTTCGATAAGGGGTACCCCCATCAAAATTTGTGAAAAATTGAAACCTCCTAAAACATCCGGCTTAAACACATGTGGATAGGGAATTTTGTTAAAAATTCAACGAGGTATGGCATTTTACTCTTGGACAACTATTTTTATTGCTATCGAAAAAAAACTGATTATTTTTATTCAAAAAAAATATACAATTTTTTTTTTTTCAAAAATGTGATATTTTCAAACGGAAATTTCGCCATAACTTGGCCAAAAAAGGAGACACAGTTAAAATGAAGACTGTTTTGTGTTGCTAATAAACAATGCTAACTATGCTCATCCCTACTTTTATGATTTTCGAAAAAATAAATTTTAACAAATTTTCACATTTTCGATAAGGGGTACCCCCATCAAAATTTGTGAAAAATTGAAACCTCCTAAAACATCCGGCTTTGAACACATGTGGATAGGGAATTTTGTTACAAATTCAACGAGGTATGGCATTTTACTCTTGGACAACTATTTTTATTGCTATCGAAAAAAAACTGATTATTTTTATTCAAAAAAAAATATAAAATTTTTTTTTTTCAAAAATGTGATATTTTCAAACGGAAATTTCGCCATAACTTGGTCAAAAAATGAGACACGGTTAAAATGAAGACTGTTTTGTGTTGCTAATAAACAATGCTAACTATGCTCATCCCTACTTTTATGATTTTCGAAAAAATAAATTTTAACAAATTTTCACATTTTCGATAAGGGGTACCCCCATCAAAATTTGTGAAAAATTGAAACCTCCTAAAACATCCGGCTTTGAACACATGTGGATAGGGAATTTTGTTACAAATTCAACGAGGTATGGCATTTTACTCTTGGACAACTATTTTTATTGCTATCGAAAAAAAACTGATTATTTTTATTCAAAAAAAATATACAATTTTTTTTTTTTCAAAAATGTGATATTTTCAAACGGAAATTTCGCCATAACTTGGCCAAAAAAGGAGACACAGTTAAAATGAAGACTGTTTTGTGTTGCTAATAAACAATGCTAACTATGCTCATCCCTACTTTTATGATTTTCGAAAAAATAAATTTTAACAAATTTTCACATTTTCGATAAGGGGTACCCCCATCAAAATTTGTGAAAAATTGAAACCTCCTAAAACATCCGGCTTTAAACACATGTGGATAGGGAATTTTGTTACAAATTCAACGAGGTATGGCATTTTACTCTTGGACAACTATTTTTATTGCTATCGAAAAAAAACTGATTATTTTTATTCAAAAAAAATATACAATTTTTTTTTTTTCAAAAATGTGATATTTTCAAACGGAAATTTCGCCATAACTTGGCCAAAAAAGGAGACACAGTTAAAATGAAGACTGTTTTGTGTTGCTAATAAACAATGCTAACTATGCTCATCCCTACTTTTATGATTTTCGAAAAAATAAATTTTAACAAATTTTCACATTTTCGATAAGGGGTACCCCCATCAAAATTTGTGAAAAATTGAAACCTCCTAAAACATCCGGCCTTAAACACATGTGGATAGGGAATTTTGTTACAAATTCAACGAGGTATGGCATTTTACTCTTGGACAACTATTTTTATTGCTATCGAAAAAAAACTGATTATTTTTATTCAAAAAAAATATACAATTTTTTTTTTTTCAAAAATGTGATATTTTCAAACGGAAATTTCGCCATAACTTGGCCAAAAAAGGAGACACAGTTAAAATGAAGACTGTTTTGTGTTGCTAATAAACAATGCTAACTATGCTCATCCCTACTTTTATGATTTTCGAAAAAATAAATTTTAACAAATTTTCACATTTTCGATAAGGGGTACCCCCATCAAAATTTGTGAAAAATTGAAACCTCCTAAAACATCCGGCTTTGAACACATGTGGATAGGGAATTTTGTTACAAATTCAACGAGGTATGGCATTTTACTCTTGGACAACTATTTTTATTGCTATCGAAAAAAAACTGATTATTTTTATTCAAAAAAAGGTGAATATTAAGAATGTTAAATTTTTGAAATGACCATTGGATATTTTTATATATTCATAATGTGGGTTGGTTTGTATAAAATAAAAAGATTGTTTCTCGTCTTTGGCACTGATGTCTAGAATTTTCACTCAATCGACTGACCAGCTTCCTAATCAGAGAACTTAATCTTCCCCTTATTTGGCACGTATAACTGTCATTTTAATATGGACGTCAACGTATGGCGGAGTGAGAAGGGGAAAAGTGGAAGATTCCTGAAGTTTCAAGGTGGACTCGAACCTGGTACTTCACTGGATCTATGTAAAGATGACATGGAACGGCGGCTTAGCGCCCTGAGCCATTCAACTCTTCCGAATTGAGTGAAACAGATTGGCGACACTTCCTTGCCGACGCTAGTCCCACTCGGATGGATGCACTGCCTTACCGACGACTCCCACCAGCGCTAGATGGCGCTTTATCCGCAAGGCGTATTTATTTTAAACATACATTTGAGTTACATACTGTCATGTAACTATAATGTCGATTTTGAGCGATGTAGAGAGACCTACGTTTGTACTCAAATTTACATGTCGCATACATTCTACACACAGTATTCATTCTACAAGAATCGTGAGTGTTCGACAATTTTCCTAGCCCTGTACGAATCGTTCACTCTACATGTATTATACATTCGACAGTCTTCTTACATATTACATTTCAATTTTACATGCTACTTATTACCAGATAATTTAACGTGAATGCACAATGTATTTTGTAAAAACAACCAAATCGTCCAAGTAAAAGACACCTGTTACTTGTCACATATTCGTACTTTTATTTCAGCCATTGCTGTTAACTATCTTATATCTTTGTTGGTGCCCAAATTTATGTTGTAAAATAAAAAAATATTTTCGCCAATGAGTTTATTAAAATATTCAGATTTCGTATTTTTACAGCTTAAAGCAGCCAATGCTGCTGTTTAAAATTACTATTTCGATTACAGATCTACAGATGTAATACTCCTTAGGTATAGTAAAAAAAAGGTTTTCTTCTCATTTTTGGTTTGGTGAGTTTTGGGATCATAGCATTTGCAATTGGGCAGCTTAGATTAAGTGAACTTGTTGGGCCCTCTGTTAGGCCTCCTCGCAGCTCTTCATTGATCCTCCACTGGTGGTCAGCTCCATTTTGACATTGGCTTGCGGATTAAGAGGCGCAATGGGAATGGGTATCGGACTGTTGTTGTTGTGCTCCTCGCTGAGCTTGAGCATATCACTTGGGTCCTGGATCTGCGCCTGACCCTGGGCGAACCGGCGCACCTGCAGGAAGAGTCCACCGTTGTTCAGGAGTCGTGCCTGGTGCTCCTGCGCCTTGGCCCTCAGACAGGCGATTGAGTTGTTTCTGCAAGAAATAAGTCCGTATTTCAGTAGCAATTCACACGCTTTTTTGTTAGGTGAAGTGGGAGTGAAGTAAGAGTATGCAGTGCACTTAAAAAACACATAATTAAATAGCATACTCCTGCTACAGGGACACCCTTGTGTCGAGCACTTTGTGTCACCTGAAGGCATCCGGATCGTGCTCCATTAGGGCGGCGGCCAAGTTGTGGGCATGCAATCCAGGTGCTGCCGCCGTGACCTGCTGCTGATGCTGCTGCTGCTGCTGTTGCTGATGCTGCTGCTGAGCAGCTGCTGCCGCCGCTGCCACGGCGGTGTTCATGATCATGTGGAAGTCCTTGCTGGAGGCGGCCGCGCCGGCACCAGCGGCATTGGCGGCGTCCAGCAGCGGATGATAGCTGGGCGGGGCACAGCCACTAACGCCCGCCCCGCTGCCCAAGTAGAGCGACGCCTGTTGCTGCTGCAGTTGCAGCTGCTGCTGCTGCTGCTGCTGCTGCTGCTGGGGCGAGGGGGAGCCCAGCTCGATGTGGGGACTGCCGGAGCTGTTGGTGGTGGACGCCCCGGTGGGCGTGGTGGCCGCCGAGGAGGCTGCGCCCGCGTAGCCGCTCGTCGAGGTGGGCGGCGCCGAGGTGGACGTGGAGGTGGGGCAGCTGCTGGGCGCAGGACTGACGACGTTCAGCGACTCGGTGGAGGAGCTGAGGGCGCGGCAACGGGAGCGGGAGAGGTCCTCCGAGTGAGCCGACTTCGAGCCCGCCGAGTCCTCGTGGTCGCTCACCCCCGAGTCGTCCTTGAGCGCCGACTGCGCCTCGATCGACTTGCGGTGCATGCCTGTCGAGGAAGAGGAAGTAGGGACATAGGTCAATGGTGTGCACCTTCAGGTTCCAGGGAAAGTTGGGATTGTCTCATAAATAAAAATAAATGCTGGTTGGATCGAAATAAAAGCCTACGTATCTGTGGAATGTGGATGCGTTGGAACTGCTAGAGGGAAAAACATAAATGTTTAAGTCGCTACCGGTAAATCAAAATGCATATGCTGCCAAAATATTGGATTTAATACCAGTTTAGGGCTCACAGTCGCACGCTTGCGGCCCCATCAATTGCCGACTAATTTGACATATCGACTTAATTAAAAACTATTGCTATTCCAATTGCGCTGATTCCCCCGGCGAAGGACCCGCTAAGTCCTCGATAAGCCACTTAAGTTCGAGCAAACCTTTGGCCACGGCTACTTGGGAATTAATTATCGAGTCAGCCGGTTCGTAAAGTTCGCCGGAGCACGCAAAACCACCCAGTCGTCAGCACCCCAGCAATGGAAATAGATAAACGATAAATGCCAAATAAAATGGGAATTCGGTGGCGAACCCTCTTCCTGCGTTCGGCGTCCTCGTCCTTCGTCCTTGTCGCGTGTGCATTTTGCATTTATTAAGCGATTATTAACGAATAAAGGCGCCCAGTCACCCCGAACCAGCGACACTTGTGCCGGAGAATCCCGGATAATCCGCAAAGTCATTCCCGGGAAATGTGCGCAACATATGACGGCAATAGCGGAAAAGCATCGTTGGACATGCTCGCCAAATATGCTCACAATTCTCGACCCGTCCGCTATCTATCCGAGTTTATAATCCCCGAACCGTGCTCCTTTGTGCGGCTCGAAATTTAATTAAACCTCCTCAAGGCTCGCAGATACATGCGATCTATAGGACACTGAATCGCAGTGAAAAGTCTGGCGCATAAAGAGCCGTCTATCAATGCGCACAGGAGAATCCGCATTGAAACCAAATGAAAGTATCAAATAAATCATAAAAGCAAAGCCAAATGGGGAAAGCTACGAGACATAGCTGTGCGACGGGTCTTAGCTTGATAGTTTGGTAGTTTCGATATGATTGTTGCATTTACATTTCTGCTCCATACCTAGTAGCCAGGGCGCCACCGCGTCGTTGTCCTTGGCCGACTTGAGGATCGTGTCCGGCAGGGGCAGGGAGTGCCGCACCATGGCCCCGTAGAGTCCGTACTCGGCCATGATCGTGCTGCCGCCCCAGACTTTCTCCGTCTTGCGCCACTTGGCGCGTCGATTTTGGAACCACACCTGAAAGGGCAAGGTACAAACGCAGTTATTACTCCAAGTAAACATGTTGCTGGTGGAATTAATGCACTTTTTTGGAACATTAATTCGCAAACTCTTCCGCATAAGCGTTTCGCCATATGGACACCGACCTCCTCAGTGGCCAATGGCTATCAACTCCGCTCGTTGGGAAAATGCAATGCAAATTGCGAATTATTAAATAAAGAGCTCATTCAAATTGAAAAAATGCAAATGGAATGTTTTTTAAATGCTAATACATGGACCATAAGCCGCTCAGCTGCCCCAAATACTTTTATATACATGCATACATACGAAGACCATTGAAGTCCAACCTTTGGGGCAGTGGTGTGGCTAACAAAAAAAGGGTACCATTTTCTAGCCGCTTGAGCTTTTATTTCGCTCTTGCTAGGTGTTGCTGCTTTCAGATGCCTTGAAAAGGATTGGAACTTTGTAAATTAAATATATATTAGCAGCAGATCCCCTTGGAAGCGGCTCCCCGAAATCAGGAGCCATCAATGCGACACCATCGACTTGCCACATCCCACTCGCTGCCACTCCACACATAATGGCAAATGATATACATATTCGCATATAAGTGACCAAATTAGATTATCTTCCGAAACATTAAACCGATTCTCTGGCGGCAGCAACAACAAAGATAATAATATGAAAACATTAAATGTTGTTCACAAAAGGCAACCAGACAACCAGACAACCAGACCAGCAACAACAACTGTCACAATAAAAGGATTTGCCACACAGACGAGCGGCCAAAGGATTCAAATTCAGCTCGAACCACCCTCGGAATCCCGGAATCCGGACCCTCTGCACTGAAAAAGAAGTCATCATTTTTCTGGTCCATCAAATCGTTTAGTTCTGCTATTAGTCATGTACGCAAAGGGGGAGGTTCAGGGGCAGGACTTACCAGGGGGGTGACGGCGGGCTGGCGGGGGGAAAAGGACACCAAAGATTGCCCGGCAGCAATGTGAAATCGACGAGGACGAAGCAAAGAGCCCCGAACTGAAGTGGCTCTTGGAAGTGGCAGCAGCAGCAGCAGCAGGAAGATTTATAATAAAAAAGCAATATATGCAAAGTAGGCAAGGCAGGCAGAGCGGGCGAAATGCAAATATAAAAGGGGCGCTAAAAGCCGGCGACTTCTCTTGGCCAGGAATTCGTTGGCCAAGAATCAGGCACCGAAAGGACACGCCACGAGCCCAGCCAAGTTCCAAATCCCAACCTTAACCTCACAGATTGAGCAAATCGCGGGTTAAGTGGGCAGCTGGGCGTGGCAGTTCGCCCAGCAGAAACCAAAGCACAAGAAAAATAAATAAAAAACATGAAAAACAAGTTCGGCGCGGAACGAAGACAAAGTGGTTTGGCTTGGGGCTCTGTCACCAAGTCTTGGTTGCCTACCAGGAGCCCCATAAATCTTGGACTTCCACTTTCTGAGAAATTGGCAGACCCGAGTTCTGACTTCCGAAACTAAATGCATATATTTTCCAGGCAGCCACTCAGTGCGTTGCGTTGCAGCCCGGAAAATGTGCAGCTCGTCGCGGATTCCTTTTTGGCAAAGTGCCGCTCACTTGGTAAGCTGCGTTTCAGCAGTTTAGGTTCCTGCGGTAAGGAACCTCTTTCCATTTCCTTTCTAATGGAATTGGTCCGTGTTTATTCCTTTTAAGAGAGATCCGGCTACTTGTGTCGCTAGCCTTACAGCTGCGACTCGCACTGTACCGAGTGTGACTCAGCGTGCGACTCAGTTGGATTACTCAGGCGTGGAGCTGCAAATAAATCCGATAGCCGCTCTCTGAAATTACCCACTCTGCTCCGGATGTCAAATTAATTTCCACACACCCGCATACTTTGCTCCTGGCAAGGATCAGCCTCCGAATTTGGGGCCTGCGGCTCGGGAGCTTGGGAGCTCGAGAGCTCGGGTACTCGGAAGCCTTGGGAATCGGGATCTTGGCCCTTCCTGGCTGCAAAATCAAATTAATCCGGTTTGTTATTTCATCATGCAACGTCAACGTCACCATCATCAGCTACAACAACAGACAAAGGGCTGCTGCAGCAGCGGCTCCAGCAGCATTTTGCCATAATAAATGGCAGCACACACACAGCGGCACGCCGGGTGTAAACAATACGCACACACAGACACGGGAGCCTCTGCCAAAGGAGCGGAAAATTTCATTAACAAGGCACACAGGCAGCAGCAGCAGCAGCAGCAACAGCAACAGCAGCAACAGCAACTTGCAGCTCCGGAGGCCAGTGGCTCGTCTGATAATTTAATCAACTCTCATTGAATTATATCATTTTGCAATTTGGAGGCCCGGCAACATCAACATCCCATCCTGCAGACCCAGACCCAGACCCCGATCCAGTTCCAGTTCCAGATCCAGATACAAGCCCAATCATTCGGCCATTACGATACCGGATTGGCGACCGGAAAAGCGGAGCCGCAGCGCAGGTAGGGCTCTTTGAGTGCGGAAATCAAAGAGGGAAATGCCACAAATTTCCAAAACGGAAATGCGATGTGTTGGAGCCTACAAAGACGCCCGGGAAAATCCAATACCGTTGGCAGCGGCAGCGGCAGCTCTAAGCTGCAACCCATGTACGTATTTTAAGTGCTATTAAAAATCAATAAATGTTTTAAATGTGTCCAAACCGAAAGGCGTTTTTAATGGTAGTGGAACAGCAAGCCAACTGGGAGTCGGGAAATGGGAATTAATCACTGGATGCGAACGCAAAGCAGCCACCGAAGAAGGGCAGATAATGCCCACCACTTTCCACTTTAATATAGATAACAGCTTGGACAATCTGCCGCCGAATGATTACTTGACCATTCCCATCTCCACTTGGCTTGCAATACGCTGCGAATCACGACATCAATTTGCTGATTGAAAATTTATTATTGTCCCTGGAAGGGGTGAATGGTGAGTAGTTCGCAGGACATTTTTATGGGGCGCAACCGAAGGGGCCACGCCCCTTTGTCCGGCTGCTGGACATGGCTTTTGATTTATCGAACATTCTGCTGCTGGCCGCCCAACCGAAATTGAGCGATGGCAAAAGTGATTCCCCGGGCTCGGGCTCCCTGTTTATATATTTAATTTATTTGTATTATTACATTCTCCATTTTGAGAGAGTGTTCCCAAAGTCGATGGCACTTGGTGTGCAATCCTTGGACACACGCAATTGTCAAACCAATTGCCGAAAATCCACTGGGCCACTGCACTCGCACAAAGGTGAAAGGACACAGGCTGCTGGTCGTTGTCGGCATAATTAAAATATTGATAACCAATCAGGGATTCATGTTGGGCTGGGCTTTCGCCTGCCAGCCGATCGAAATCAGAATGAAAGGGATTTCCGTGGTGCCTGTGTGTGGTGGGTGCTGTGTGGTGGGTGGTGGGTGGGTGGCGAATATTTACTCACTGGGGCTGCAAAATTGCGAATTGCAAATTGCATATGCAGCGGGTCGCAGGACTCGTCGTCCTTTTCAGGTGACATGTGCACCTGTGCACCTGTGCACCTGTGCATTCGATTTTGCCTGCACTCGGGCGGGAATTTGCCTTTGAGTTCGTGTGCGGCCTTTATTGGTTTACTTCATCAACTCGAACGACTGAGTGGTTGGGTGGCTTACGAGTGGTTCGCTGGGGCATCGATGGGTGGAGCGGAGTGGAGTGGGAGTGGAGTGGGAGTGGGAGTGGGTGTGGAATGACTACTACTACTGCCAAGTGGTTGCCAGTCAGTCAGCCCGGCGAGGCGTGTGGAAATTTCATAACGACAGTCCGCAGTTTATATGCAATATTCAATTGACATTCGCGGAATTTGGTTTTCAAACTGCGTGCAAAAAAGGGTGCTTTAGTTTTCCGACAAAGTTGGAAACCCGGGGAAATAAATGTAACCACACATACGTATATATATACAAATAGCTAATAAGTGCAATGTACAAATTCATGCTAGTTCACCAATAAAAAAAAAGGAAATAAAATATATTCCCTGGCATATTCTCAGTTTTCTTGCTTGGCAGAGTATCCGAGGAGTGCTTTGAGTTTTCCCCAGTTTTCCCCGCTTTTCAGCGCCTTTTGTCTCTAGCATCTTCCCATTTTTTCCGCCGGAACTTCAATTTCCACTTTCATATGAGTTTAACGGTCGCGCACTTTTCGCTTTTCGTGCGCTGGAAAAAGAAGGATGAAAGCAAGGGGCGGGGCAGTGGGCTTTTCAGTTTTCCGGATACGGAACCGGATTAAGAAATGTAAATGCGAAACGATGTTGTTTTTTGGTTTATTCTCGTTTCGTAAGGTCGAGTATTAATTTGCGCACACGGAACTAAAGGCTTGACTTTGGCGTTCCAAGGGGGTGGTAAAAGGGGCGGGGAAGGGGGTGCCAAGCGAGGTCCAGTGGAAAAGCCGCACATGTGAGTCGGACTCGTATTAATGACCTTTGCTCGACATTGAGCTTGCCGTCGAACTATTAATTACGGGCAAAACGATGTTTTAAATGCCCAATGATTAATGGACCGATTTTCTAATTACGTTAGACGTTTCTAATGCGCAGGGGGCGTTTTGTGGGTGGTGCAATGCCAAAAGGCGACTCGAGCGATTACCAAACAATTAGGGTATGCATTGAGTAATTCACTCATCGAATCGGCCAAGTGGTTGTTTTAGTGGGGAAATCCCCACTAAAGTAACTGCCATTGCTGTGGAATATTTCCCAAAACAAACATGTTGCTGAAATAAAACATAAAATACTCTTTGCTTCCGCTGTCATTTTGGGGCGAAGCTACGCATAAATCTCTGCCACAGGGAATCCCATCCGGAAGCGAACTAAAACGTGCTGCCACAAGCTTCGGTTTCCCAGTTGAGTAGTTATCATCCTCGCAAATTGGCAAGTGCACGTGGACCGCGTGTCATCGCAGCAGGTTGCCCTTCGCTGTGCTGTGAGAACTGTAGCAATTTGTTTGTTTGTTTTTCCAATGCTTGCCTCCATCCCCGACAAAGGGTTGCTGGCGG